AAATCCTTTCAGAAAAATATCGTCATAATTTTGACAGGTTACACACTAATTGTTAATTAGAATTTCGACATAATTTCAGTTACGACGGGTTTCAAAATTCGGCAGAATTTCAACGGGTTATTTACTAATAATTTATTATAATTTCAACAGAATTTAGACAGTTACTAAGAGATTTCGGCAAGCAACCTTAATTTTAACAAAGTTTTGATAGCTACTAAGAGATTTTGATGATTATTAAGAGAGTTTGGTGAGCATTCTTACTCACATAGTCAAATATTTACTTTGTCTGATTTTGTTACAATTTGTTCTATATTATAATAAATATATCTATAATTTTTTAAATTTAAGAAAAAATATAGTTTTAATTATTCTTATTTTATTAAAAGCTTGAAATAATAAAATTCTTAATTATAAAAATATTAAAATAATAATAATAATCATAAAATTCACAAATAGTTATTAATAAATAGTTTAGAAGTTTATTTATTTGCATATTAAAATTAATTAAAATTCAAATATTATTTATTTGAAAGTTTAAATATGAATGAATGAAAAAGATATAAAGTTTGGTTCAAATAAAAACATTTTTTCAAGCTAAAGAAATATTAACAAAAGATAAATCTATTTCAAATAAAAAGAATAAAGCATTAAATTAAAAAGAAATTTATTAACAAAAAATAAATTTAATTTTTTTTAATAAAAAAAATATCAAAAAATACAAAACTTGTTCCTGCTCCAACAGAAAAAATACAGAATCTGCTTCTTCACCAAAAATACAAAGTTTAGAAAATTTTCAAGTCAATTTTCTCTAACAAAGCAACTAAAGAAACCATTATAAACAATTTTATGCAAATTGATTTCAAATATTAGTTTATTTTTATTATTAGGTTTGCAATATTTACAATTTGTAATATTTTGGAGACATGATTCTTAATAAACTTTTAGATAATGAAATACCCATAAAATTTGTATTTTGGCCAGCATTAAGAAATTAAACCATAATTCAGACCAAAGCATGTGACTAATTAGCTTGAAATTCTAATATTGCAAAATCAATAACGATAAAACAATGTGTCGAAAATTTATTTTGAATATTAGATTCAATTTTCCAAGTTACTACATCCAAAATGTCTGCCGAAGAACCTTTGCATGTAGTTATTCGTCTTCCTTATAGAAGGCCACCCGGATTTGTTGAACCACCTTCAGTAAGATATTATTATATTTTCTTTGAGAAATTTTATATTGAAGTAATTTAAAGCACAGCCATTAATTAACCAAAAAAACACTGACATCAAGATAATATGGACTGAAACAATGGAACAACAGCTATGGGAAATTCTAACACAAAACAAACGCCAGAGCATTGACTGTTAGTAAGTTAGCCGTAGATTGCTGTTTTTGTGAAACAAATTCCTCTATGAAAGAAGAGGAGCCGGTGGTTTGTTCTTTGAATGAGAAAACATGAACTCATTGTTGCCTTTTTACTAAAATTTGCAACAGGGAACTTAGCCTCGCGACGACTAAACGTTCCAATTCCATATCTCTTAAGACATGCAGCTTTCCTGTATGAAACCCAATTGCGTGGTGTACAAGCTCAATTGCGACGTGGCGAAGTACTCAGTGCCAGTAATAGCAGTAACAACTTAACAGCCCTTGGCACTACTGGTGGAATAACAACACGCACTAGAGCATCAAGTCGTGCATCATCAAATAAAATTCCCGCAATGGAAAACAATGAACCATTGACTCGAACTAGAGCCTCAAGTAGAGCATCATTAAATAAAGTTACAGTGGATCCTAATGATCCGATAATTCGACCAAGAGCTTCGAGTCGTGCTTCTTTAACTAAAGGATCGGTATTAGATTCGAAAGAAGGTGTGTTTTCGGTGTGAATCCTTTTTGTTTGTTGCATAGTTTTTTAACTTGATTTATACATGAATAGTTCCTACTGCTCGATCGAGATCACCATCGATTAGAGAGTCTCCTATTACTTACCGTGGTAACCCTGCTGCAAACCAAGATACTCTAAAGATGGGAGGTCCGTCAAATGCGGAACCTGCATTTATATACCAAGGTCTGTTAAATAATTTAGCGAAAGTTTATATGTACCAATTTAAAATTTATATTATTTTTATAATATTTCTAGGAAGAAATGATACGTTAAGCAACGAAACAAGATCAGTACCAATTTCACATACATCATCCTCTCCCCCACAGACCAATTCTTCATCTTTTGCACGGCGACCAGTGTCTAACGCGTCATCTGTTTCTACAATTACTCCCATCGACCAGATTACATCAAATCTTAGACCCATAATAAATATGCAAGGATCTTTTATTAGCACACTTTCAACAATTGAATCCGAGTCTGCTATGACACCTTCATTCGAGACTCCTGTTGATCCATATTCGCGGAACAAATCGCTTTCTATTGAAGATGGTGATGGTGATAATGATGAAATCCATGCAAGTATAAAACTGCATGATTCTAGTTCAGACGACGATAGCGAAGCTGATGAGGATTACCAAGAATCAAAAAGCACCATACTTGAACAGAACCTTGCTGTTTCATTTACGGATAAACTAAAAAAATTACAAGGTGTTGCAGCATTCTTGCCGCTTGTGAGTACTAGTAGCGGTAGTGGTGGCTCTGCCACCCTCGCTGGCACTAACTCAAATGATAAAAAAAGTCAGTCGTCAGCGTCAACGACGACTACCAACAAAGACACTCAACGTCAAGATCCAAAAGATATTAATTTAGCTGTTACTACAAATGTAACTGCACCCCCGAAGACCGATGATGGTAAGAACAAAATAATTTCATAAGATATAATTACTTCCTAGTCTTTACATTAACTTTAGAATCTCAATATTTTAGCAAACAACAACTCAACAGTTGGCAAGTCTCCGTTAACTCCTGCTCCGGGAAGTGCTTCAAATTCAACGGGATCTTCATTTAGTGAGCTGTCAGGTATCAATCAGAGTTCATCATTCTTTAAAGATTAAAGGTTTTTTTTGTGACTTGATAATGATACTAAAATGATTGGCTAATTTTTATTAAAAGATTCTTCTGTAACTCGCTCGGCACTGGAAGATGCAATCATGTCTTCGAATCTTGGAGGCTCAAGAATGTAAGTCTGATTAGATATAAAATGAATATTTAATTTGATGAAAAAATTACTAATTCTTATTTGGATATTTTTCAAAAGGTCCATTTTTTCACGAAAAAGCTCATATTTTCCTGGCTCTTAATATTATATATATATATATATATATATGTATATACGTATTAGATTTAATTTTTGCAGATTTACCAAATCTACTATATTTACATTAATGATCTAATGTTGGCCAGCATTATTTATCGTTTTAATAAAGCTTTATCGTTATATTATCTGCACAATGGATTGTCTTGCATGTATGAGTCTTTTCATGGCGTAGATGATGTGCACTGTATTTATCTTTGAGACCTGTTTTCGCATCGAACCTTTTCTTTCACGGGCATTCAAAGTCAAAACTCATACAACAATCAATTGAATGATACCGATACAGCACAGCTCAGATAAACTTGTTATGACATTTATATTCTCTTTCTAAAACGAAAGTAAAGATATACATAAAATGAATGATAAATGAATGTTCCCCCTCTTCCAAATTTGGTACTCAAATTTTTGATCGACCAATTAAAAATTATCTTTCTAAGGGATGATTTGTGTTGGTTGGATTAATTTAATGCAAACTTCTCGTTGGTCTAAAGAGTAAGAAAAAGGGTTGTGTTGTTGTTGCTCCTCATTGCATGCATGCATTGTGTTCAAATAATCAATTAAAAACACATTATGATGAAGATAAAATGAAGATAATAAATTATCGTCGTGTAGCCAGCAAAAAATCTGAAATGTAAGCGAATCAAGTAACGTTGGGGATTTGACTAGAAACTTTTTTGACACGCGTTTCTTATGTGACAATGTATTCAAAACAATGATGAAAATTATTTTTGTTTTGCCTTGATGTCTTAGAGATAATTGTTGATATAGACTGATAATGATAATGTGAGAAAATCCGGTTGAAACACGTACATATTCTTTCGTAATGTCTGTCTTCGCGTACACACCACACATTAACACAAAATCAATATGTTCCTTTTTTGATTCGTCCTATAAGACGCGCCAATGCAAGGCGAAAACTCTCACTTAAATCATGCAAAATGCGCACTATAATTTATGTGATGTAACCGAAGTCGCGCGTATCATTGGATGTGGTATCACATCACTGGTGATTGTTGTTACATCCTAATCAACATAAAGCGTGGTCGTAATTTTTTCAACAAAGCCTTCTTACTCTTATATCCTCGTTTTCAACCGAGTTCTTTCTCATCTCATCTTCAATTAACCACAATACAACAATAATACTAATTACTGCCGCTTAATAATATTACTAATAGTCGTCAATTTACACGTAAAAAGTGCGTAGCTATCTTACAAGTAAATTTTTTCTGTTTTTTCGATTTGTTTTTCCAAAGAACGTGTTTTGTCTGTTTGGCTTTCGTGTCTTCGAGAAAAATACGAAGAATATTATTTTGTAAAAGTCATCGTTGTTGTTGCGCGTTACTACAACGCTAAAATATTATTGCAATGTTTTTTTGTCGCGTCTTTTTGCTCGCTTTTTTATCATCCTTTACCTTTCTTCTATGCATTTTCGCGTGTATTTTATTCACAGCCTTCACTCATACGCTCCAAACCTCCATTTGGACCGTCTTTTATTTTCACCAAATAAAACAATAATAGAGACTGAGATACAATTTGCCACTACGTTAAATTTTTAATATCGTAACTATAAAATAATAGTGGTCATGAGAGAAATCGTACACTTGCAAACTGGTCAGTGCGGTAACCAAATCGGTGCTAAATTCTGGGAGGTTATCTCGGAAGAGCACGGTATCGACCACTCGGGTGCTTACCAGGGTGATGCTGATCTTCAGTTAGAAAGGATATCGGTTTACTATAATGAGGCGAACGGTGGCAAGTATGTTCCACGCGCGGTTCTCGTAGATCTCGAACCTGGTACCATGGACTCTGTCCGTGCTGGTCCTTTTGGTCAACTTTTCCGACCCGATAACTTCGTGTTTGGTCAAAGCGGTGCCGGTAATAACTGGGCTAAAGGTCATTATACAGAAGGTGCTGAACTTGTCGACTCTGTGTTGGATGTCGTTCGCAAAGAAGCCGAAAATTGTGATAGTTTACAAGGCTTCCAAATTACACACTCTTTGGGTGGCGGAACCGGTGCTGGTATGGGAACTCTGCTCATCTCAAAAATCCGTGAAGAATATCCCGATCGTATGATGTGCACATTTTCCGTTGTACCATCGCCAAAGGTATTTTTTGTTCTATTACCATTTTATATATATATTCCAATTATATACTTATGAATCAATACTTATATGTATAATAAATGATATTATTGGTAATTAATAGGTATCAGATACAGTTGTTGAACCATACAATGCCACCCTTTCAGTCCATCAGTTAGTCGAGAATTCCGATGAGACATTCTGTATCGACAATGAAGCTTTATACGATATCTGTTTCCGCACATTGAAGTTGCAAACACCAACGTACGGTGATTTAAATCACCTTGTGTCTGCTGTCATGAGCGGAATCACAACATGTTTACGTTTCCCTGGTCAATTGAATGCTGATTTGAGAAAATTGGCTGTGAATATGGGTGAGTAATAATTTCAATATATATTATATAATGAAACAGCGCCAATTAATTCACAAATAAAATCCCATAGTTCCCTTCCCGCGTCTACATTTCTTCATGGTTGGTTTCGCTCCATTGACTGCACGAGGATCCCAAGGATACCGAGCTCTAAGTGTACCAGAATTAACACAACAAATGTTCGATGCCAAGAATATGATGGCCGCCTCAGATCCTCGTCATGGTCGTTATCTCACCGTTGCAGCTATGTTCCGTGGACGATGCTCAATGAAGGAAGTCGACGATCAAATGTTGTCAGTCCAAACCAAAAATAGTTCATATTTCGTTGAATGGATTCCAAACAACGTCAAAAGTATGTGTTTCGGTTACTGTCGAATTTTTATAGTTAATTTATTGTTTACTAATTATATATTATGTGTCTTGCAGCTGCTGTTTGTGATATTCCACCGAAGGGTCTCAAAATGTCCGTCACCTTCATTGGAAATTCAACTTCTATCCAAGAATTGTTCAAACGTATCAGTGATCAATTCACTGCTATGTTCCGGCGTAAGGCTTTCTTGCATTGGTATACTGGAGAAGGCATGGACGAAATGGAATTCACTGAAGCTGAATCAAACATGAACGATTTGGTATCTGAGTAAGTATCTTTATCTACTTTAATCTAAATTCCGTAATTAAAAAAATTTAACTTAATCGATCGCGAATTTCTATCATTATCTAGATATCAACAATATCAAGAAGCGACCGCTGAAGAAGAGGATGCCGAATACGAAGAAGATTTGGAACAAGACGCAGAATAGAATATTATATTACCATTCAATTGCATATCTCAAAACACACATTCTTAATTATATACTACCACAACATAATTCCCAATTTTTATATTTTTTATTATATAGATTTTTTTTATAAAACATCAGCGACTATAATAATCATCAAAACAACCCTTTTCGTTTTCAAATATGACAACATGTCAAGGAGGAAAACACAAAACTTGAACAATAGTTTCTTATTAGCGGGTTGTGTGAATTTTCAGCAACACATCAAATCATCATTTTAATAATAGTACAATTAAACAAGAAATGCTTGTATATTATTACTACGTATGGAAATCAGAAATTATTTATTGTTGAAAATAAAAATGAAGAGTTTTTATTGACAGTAAAAAAAGTGTCGATCACGTGATATTGATCAGATCCAATTCTGCGCAGCCAATAGGAATGTAGCAAATTTTTGATCAACCCGGCAAAACAAATCTGGCACAAGAAAAATAAAGAGAAAATGCGAAAAATACAAAAAACAGATATTTAAATCTAGCTTGGCACATTAAAAAATGTTGGAAAATCAATTTTATATATAATATTAATCAGATAAACAGCAAATTTTTTATATAAATTTTAATGAGTTTTTGAAAATCTAATAAGAGGAGTAATAAATATTAATTAATATTTATTTTGTTATAGGGATTCTCTCTTTTTTTTTTGAGATTTTATTTAATATATGCACATATGATTATATTAATATCTGAAATTTGATCTCCTTCTCTTTCCTTCTATAATATCTGTTACTTTTTTAAGAAATTCAAGAACAATAAGAGTTTAAAATAAGTGATTTTTTATATATATTTTATATTTTGTATGTAGAATTTGATATCCATAAAAGTGTTACAAATTATATATAATTTTGAGAAAAATATAACTTTCTTAGTATCACAAACAAAAATTTGTGTTTATATGAATATAATATAATATAATCCAATAAAAATATTCTTTCAAGTAATGCAAATTAATAAGATATAAGAAAGTTTAAACTTCTGATTTACTTAATTTAGTTTCTTCTGCAAATACTTTTCTTGCTGTAGTTGATATTTTCATGACTTGTTTCTCTTTGAAGTTATTAAAAATAACTTTGAGATTTTTATTAGAATATTGTTTTAATATTAATACTTTAGTAATTATCTTTTGGAATAATCTTCTAACTTTAATATCAGTTAATTTGTGGAATTCAAATTAAAAAAAATTTGTTTATTATTGATTTATTTGTTCTTTCACAGAGAATTCTTAATCCAATTCTGATTTTTTTTGGTGTAATACTTTGTTTTATTTACAAAGAATTCTTTGTTCAAATAGGATTTTGATGGTGTAAAGTTATCTTTTCCATAGAGAAAGCACCAAAATTTGTTATCATTTTTATAAGCTTTAAGTTTTTGATGTGTTATTCACTTATTTCTATTAACTAAAAGATGAGAAAGACTAAGTTTTATGATGAAAAAGACTAAAAATTATTATTAAGAATAGATAATATGTGTTTTTGTTGTGACAAGCTAGAATAATATCCAATAACTTCACTAAATTTTTATTAAGTTTCTTTATAACTTTAAAAGTAATAATTCAAGACAATAAGTCTTTCAAGTAATT